ACTTCCTCCATTCAAATATTTTGCGCTGATAAGTGTGCAAGCAAGGATTAATTTATCACAAAAAGAACTAATTATTACATTACATTTTACTCGTCAAAAGCGTACAAGTTTATTAAACAATATGCAACTTTGCCAAACGTTGAGACCATAAGACGCTCTTTGGCCTTCTTTAATTGCATTGTAGAGCTTTTTATCTGATCCAAACCCGATCTCAAATACTGATGATACAGTACAATTATATTAAAAATGTATTAATCAATATTATTACTCATCACTTCACACCACAGTTATGACCAATTTTTATTTATATGTATTCCATAGTGTATTCTATACGTGGTAGAGCCATGTTGCAGCTATATTAGTAGTATAGTTGTAGTACGAATGGGTCGGCTCGACCGGGGAAGGACCACGCTCTCACAGAATGCCAGCGTAAAATAGCAGTTTAACGCTGTTGTGTTTCGTATGGTGAGTGTAGAGAACCGGAGACCCTTTTTACTGGAAAAGATGCATTCTGATGCATTTTGATTTGTAATAGAGGATAGATGTAAATGTCTTTTGATCGCACAATAAATAATAAATAAATATAGGCCGCAGCAACCACTTACCATCAGTTGGACTGTGTGCTCGTTTGTCATCCTTATTCTATAACAAAAAACCAGCCTATGGATGACAGTATTTATTGCTTTTAATTTCATTAATCCAGAATTCTAAATTTTGTTTTATAGGATAGGGTGACAAACGAGCACACAGTCCACCTGATGGTAAATGGTTGCTGTGAATTTCAAACTCTTTTTTGACCATGTGTCTCAGAACGCATCTAAAAAAAATTATGGACTAAAAGTTGAGTGCTATTCGTACCAAGTGACAAAAACTTCACAAAACTATTCAATCATGTATAAAAATTGAGTTGTTGTAAAAACCTTCACCTCTAATTATTATTATTGTATATTTTAAATTTGTAGACACTATTGCTATTGTAATAATAAATGTAAATAAAAACGATTATTATTTTAGTTTTATTATTTCCTAATGTTACATTATAAGAGATGTAAAGACAGTCTCCCGAAAACTTTAACCATAAATCATCATCCTGAGTAAGGTACTGAAGAATTTTCTTTGTGGAAATTAAAAAAAATTGAATTCCCATACAAAATTGGTCACGTGACCGATACATTTTGTATGGGAAATCGAATTTTTTGTTCATTTTCGGACAAAAATATTTTAGTTTTAGTTAAAGTTTTGTATATAGAGCCAGTTCACTCGTTTATTCGTTTATTGACAAAAGAGTACACGAATAAATAATATTAATTAATAAACTTCCGCCCGCAGGCTCGACCTTATGAATTTCTCTAATATCATGCGTTTCAATGGAACTCTACTATTTTCAATTAAATTAAAATTTTATGAATGAATATATTAAAAAAAAAATTATTTTTCCCCATAATATCCCAAATTCTTGTATTTTGTGTTCACCCTAATTAGAAAGAGACTGAGGGGTAATGAAAAATTTCAAGGTCGTTTTCTTGTATTTTTTATGTCATTCGAAATTGCGGGTTCCAGTTTGTACGAAGTACATGTATTTCCATGATCTGTAGCATGAAGTTATAGATAAAGATGGAGACCACACTCCGAATACCTACTTGAAGCTAAACCTATGTATTACTATCTCGCTCTCTGTGGGCAGGCTTTCCCTTTCTAAGTAGGTAACCTTTATTTTATTTTTCCCAGGATATCGCTATAAGTAGTTGAGTTACATTAAGTGTTTTATTTATAAATATCTATATCTCTGTTTACTACTAAGTCCTAGCCTACATAGATTATATATTTTTGTACAATTTTTTTTGGGAATTGACTAGTTTTATGAAGAAAGGTTTTCATTTCCATGGGCAGAACCGGTATTAAAATATGACCACGCATTTCCGTCACAACCCATATAATGCCGAGCCTATTTAGAAAATGTGGAAAATAAATATATCAGAGAATATTTTATAACTACCATTTCAATAATGTATTTTCTGGTTATTGTATACAATTCCTAAACGGTACCAACGAAATATAAAATTAAAATTTATTATAACCCCGGGTGATCAATGAATTGGCAAAATATACCTGATTTATTGTTCAGACAGACTAAATCTATTTCTGGACAATTATTTAAAAAAAAATATCACGAGGACTAAACCAGCGTAGCGGAGCTCCTGCCTTAGCCTTCAGACCTAACCCATCCGAGTCAGGCTGCTCTGAGCTGAAATGTGTATAATACTATATTCCACACATCCAGTTCATTTTAAGAATTATCTACAATTCCTAGGAATTCTATATAATAACGGATTTCATAGATTTCTAGTAACATATGTACTATAATAGGAACGATAATATATTATTATTTTGAGTTGTTATCAGGAAGATGCCACTGCCCATCTCCTGTTTCATTTTCCCTCTGACACTTCTTACAACACCCTCGGAACGATATGGGGTAGTGGATATTCTCACACCACCACTACATGGTTTGTTAAAAACATTAAAAAAATAAATAAAAACACTTTCCATATTAAAATTATTTATTGAATTTTTCACACCATGTGGATTTTTGAAGTCCTTACAGATATGAGCAAAGCGCCCTTGAATAATATTTTCAATTTCTGACTGACCCATATACTTTTTAATAGTGTCCATTAAAGAAGACCTATCCTGAATTTTTTAGTTTGGCGCGCCACTTTTTGCTTAAGAATCTTAGTTTTCGTCTCAAGTATTTTTTCTTTAGTACACTTTATTTTCACTTGCACGCCCCTATCAATCTTCGCGGGATCGTCGTATTCACTGCTGACCTAAGAAAACAAGAAAACTTTATGAAATCAGTATTTTTAGCATCGTACATCGTATTGCTCCACTCATAAGGGTCGTAGCGTGATGTTAGATAGACTTCCTGAAGAATTGGTTTTAAAAATGCAAAAAAATATTTTCAAATCAAACCAGAGATTAGCGAACTCTAACAAAAAAAGAAACAAATAACTCTTCTACATCATAATGTCAGTACAAATTTACATCACTTAATAGGTAACATATAATACACCGGAGCGCGCCTTCATGAGCACGCATAAATGAAGCATCAAACAAGAATCTTTATGCTTAGTGTCGTAGTAACTATTACCACACTGCGATTGGCACTAAAGAGTTTAAATATGTATGTGTTTTAAGCTATATAATACATTATGTAATGTAATATTAGTCATAATAAATACAAATAAAAGGTATGTATTTAGTAATAAAGGAAAAGGACACTTACAGGTAATTTGTTAAGATTGCACAAATTTTCAAGAATTTTTCGACATTGTTTTTTACTAGTTTGGTCTTCAATATTACAGCCAGTACATTTCACTTCTGTTTCCTTAAGTGCAGAACTACTTTCATAAATGCCAGAACTAGTGCTTGGTACAGCCAGAGCAGCTATTTGCACAATAGACTCTTCATGTAATGCACTTATTGTCTGCAAATAATAACATATTTTAAAAAATGTTGCTTTATATCATACATCTAAACTACTACATTTCTAAATACATAATTATTATAAACGTTATTAAAGTATCAGAATAATGAGAAACAAAAACTAAATAAAAATAAATTGTCTACCAAAAGAATATATTATGTTACTCATTTTTAATTTAATATTATGAAATCTATGAAATACGTCATTATATAGAATATATAGCAAGTGTACATAATTTCTAAATTTCATGCATTTCCGGTAACATAATAAGAAACATGTACATATAATTAGTTAAGGTCACACGGAAAGTCTCAGATACATCATCAATATGGTCACACTACTTCAGTGCGATTTCTTTTAAACAAAAACAATAAAATTGTTCAAACTTAATTAAATTAAATGTAAAACTATTTGATTTTGACAAAGTTATAATTTACTAATATGTTTAAAACACTGATAAAACATTTCAGCAAAAAATTAAGTAAAAATACAAAAAGTATGTTTACAAGTATTCAATGTCAGAAGTCACTATTTAAACACTTACGTTTGAAATCTTATATCACCTCCTGGACACCAACTACTTTCGCAACCACGTACTACACAAGTTTGCACCATTTCTTGAATTATAACAATAATTAACTTTAAATATCTCAAACGACGCTGTGAACTGCTAAGTAAAGAACCGCCATATTTGTCTAATTTATGTTGACATATAGTGCTAATGTTGCCATATTACCGAATCCTTAGGAAATGGGATTGTAATTCACTGATTCGTGAACCCAATAATGCATACGAGACCTTCAATTTTGGAATTTTTAATGTAACTAATCGTAGATCAACTATTTATTTGTTGCTACATTATTTTACAAAGCTTAACTTCTGATTTAGTTAGTGTGGAAATTATTTCTAAGAATTTACCGGGAGATTCAAATAAAAACATAGCAATATTGTGTTCCACACTAAAAAGAGAAGTCAGACCACAGAGAGTGAGATAAAGATACGTAGGTATTTGACTCAAGCTGTTGTTCCAAGTGTGGCCTCCATCTTTATCTATAACTTCATGATCTGTAGCTTGCTACATATATATTTATCTATGGCATAGACTAATATATAATACTGGATCTAAACGTAGTGGTTATATTCTCTTTGGTCCCGCCTCTTAAACGTAGTGGTTATTTTCTCTTTGACTGGATCTATGATGCTAGGCTGACTAGTATACAGTTATCTGTGGTGCTTAGCTTGCTACATATATATTTATCTATGGTGGTGCTAGGTGCAATCGGTATTAGTGTTCTGTGGGTGCAATTGGTGCAGTCGTAGACATGGTATACAGTAATATGAATTGGTGATTAAAAATTCTGTTCCATGAGTATATTTGTCAAAGTTTTAACGAGCTATATTAAATAAAAAAATTACAAGCAAAAATAAAATTAGGTTGTGCACTACAGTGTTTACCGTCAGAGTTGGAGTAATATACTACATTGATTCATAAGGGCGTTAATTTTCATTGAAAATGGATTTTAAAATGCATGAATATACACACGCTGTCGTTGGTAAAGTAACACCAGCCTTTCGTATAACAGATAGAGCAGATCTCAATGATGCAAGGCGACAACATGACTGCTACTTACGCCTTCTTAGGGAACTTAATTTAGAAGTGGTTGAAGTAGATTTTGGTGCGTCTTTTCCTGCAAATGTTCTGCTTGAAAACATAGCCATTGTCTGTCATGGTATTGTTCTGTTGACAAAAGCCACATCTAATAAAGAAGATGAAATGGTAAGATTTTCTTCATAAGATGCTTGCTTATACCAAACTTTCAAAACCGTAACACGCCTGTTGCTAGTCAATTTTTCAGTCAGATTGAAATTAAAATGAAACTAATTTTTACGGATTTAAACGCGATAAAATCCGTAAAAATTAGTTTCATTCAGTGTGTAGTCTTCGCGTTAATGTAAGAAATAATTATTGAAATTAAAAGTTGAACATTACTTAATACTTGAACTTGGTGATGAAACGGGGTCTCCCCGTGAGAAACCCCCTGACCCTCCCGATGAAGACATTTGCTTTGGATTAAGTGACAATAATGATTGTGACTGTGGTAAAAAAAAACATGCTGAGACTAAAACATTTGAACCAGTAAAAAGAATTCTGTAGTTGATTTAATAGCTTTAATAAATACAATATAATTATAAACATCCCTGCCTAGAACAAAATCTTAGAATGTAGGGGCCAAATGATCAAGGCCCTTTTATTGTCCACATCTCCTGGGCTTGATCAGATCCTAGAATAGGGCTATCACTTCCACCAATTAAAATAGGTTTATGCTTGTCTAAAAATAATATAGAAAACATTAAAAGAGGGGGAGTCAAAAGCGTTGGCAGAAATCTCATCTCTATTCATTTCTGCTCAGCAGATGAGGCTAACAAGTTCCTCAATAATTCAATGCTTGCAAAAGAAAAATTGATTGCAACCTACCCTACTCAATCTATTGTTCTGACGTTTGAAGGTCAGATACTCCTCAAATATGTACATGCGTTTTTCACATCCCTTGCCGTTGAAACTTATCAACTCCCCACCATCCAGTGCAAACAGTGTTGTCGATTTGGCCATGTAGCAGATCAATGCCGCTCTAAACCACGCTGCTTCCGTTGTGCCCAAGAGCATACTGGAGCAAGTTGTTCTGTTCCTGAAAGTGAAGCCACTTGTCTGTTATGCTCCAAAAATAATTTTGCTAATAACAAAAATTGTCCGGAATACCATAGACAGAAATCTATTAAAGTTATGATGTCAGAACAAAATGTATCCTATATAGAAACTTCAGCCAAAATCCCATCTATCCGTTTGAACAATCTTCAAAAACCCTCTCTCAACTTTCACCTACTTCTACTACCTCCTTCAACCTCCCCACCATGTCACAGGCATATAGAAAAACCATTTTCAAATCTCCCAGTCCCATCCTTAGAATTTCCATGGGGTATGACCAACAAGCCCATCAAAGAATAGTTGCAGACTGCCCATCCTTTACTCCAAATGGATGCGCATTATCCAATACGCACAACCAAATATCTCCAAATAAAAATCTTGTTGAATGCCTAATTTCTCTCCTCAATAATTTAATTTTGAAAATGTCAGACTCACTACCGAACAATGTTGCAGAAAAAGTCTTTAATTTAGCTAGTTTAATAGATAATATAAATGACTCAAACAAAAGACCTCCATCTTCTACAGTGGAACTGTAGAAGCTTGCACCCTAAAAAATCAGAACTCATCTTCCTAAACATTCAATTTCTGTTGCTTCAATATCAGAAACATGTTTCCTACCTGGCTCCAAATTTTGCTTGCAAGGCTTTACCTGCCTCCGAGAAGATAGAAATGATGGCTATAGTGGTTGTTGCTTACTCATAAAAAAATCGCCACCTTTTTCTCAAATTACACTACCTCCTCATAGTCAAAACATTAATGCTGTAGCTGCAAAAATTGCAGGAATCAACATTATTTCAATATATATCCCTCATCCAAATACCCACTTAATTCAAGAACTATCCTCTTCTTTTTTCTTTGTTACCTCCCACTTTTATTATTACTGTTGATTTTAATTTACATCATGTATCTTGGGGGTCACATTTTTGTGACATATACTCTTCAGAACTTATACAAACTTTTGAAGACATTAATGCTTGCATCATCAACAATGGTTCCCCCACTCATAGAGTATACCCAAGACTAGACCCTAGGTCTGCTGTCAACCTTGCAGCTTGTTCTTCTAGTCTAGCCCCTCAGCTTTCTTGGAAAACTCTCAATCAAACATATGGAAGTGATCACTTTCCCATTCTTCTTACCAAACCCTATGCGGTTATTCCTTTACCCTTTACTATGCCCCTCCTTAAATATAAGCTCCGAGATGCAGATTGGACTAATTTCACTAAATTTTTAGATACTAAATTTGCCCAAATGCAGGTTGACTTCTGAACCAACCCAATAACTTCTTACTCTTTATTGGTACAATATATAACTGAAGCAGCTGACTTATTTATCCCAATTAAAAAACCCTACAGCAAGAACCTATTCTCCCCTCCATGGAGGGATGCTCAATGCACCACTATGATTAAAAGGAGAAAAGCTGCAGAAAAGCATTACAATCACTGTATGACAATGGATAATTTTATACAATTTCAAAAAACCTCTGCTCAAACAAGGGGACTTCTTTCCAAAAAGAAAAAAAGTGGATGGAAAAAATTTTGGGAATCCATGTCCCCTAATACACCAGTAACAATAGTTTAGTAAAATATAAAAAAAAAAATTGTGGCTCACTTCTTTCTGATAGCAACATTTCTGATTACTCTCTACCATGGTTAGAAGTCTTCTCTGATATGTTAGCTCCTCCTTTTGTCCCTAATGAATATGCAATATGCCCACCCATTCCAGTCCCTTCTAACATCAACAATAATGAGATAATCTTCTCACTGTCCGAACTACAGTCTGCGTTATCTGGTTTAAAATCCTCTTCTCCAGGAGAAGATGGCATATCCTATGCACATTTATTTAAATTAAGTCTGAAGGGAAAATTAATTCTTCTCCAAATTCTGAACAATATCTACATATCTTCTAATATTCCTCTGTCTTGGTCGAACCAGATTGTTATACCTATCCTTAAACCCGGAAAAGATCCCAAAGAAGCTTCTTCATACCGCCCAATTGCACTTTCATCTACTTTTTGCAAAATTTTAGAACATTTAATTAAAAACAGACTTGAATGGTTTTTGGAACATAATAACATCCTTGCAAAAAGTCAATTTGGTTTTTGTAAAAGGGAAAAGCACATTAGATAGTTTGAGTATCCTAACTGCAGATATTAGGTTGGCTTTTTCTAAAAATGAATACTTGGTGAGTTGTTTCCTGGATATATCATCTGCCTATGACAGTGTTCTCCTTCCGGTGCTCAGGCAGAAAATGCTTCATCCGAACATCCCTGCAGAGACTGTACACTTCATTTACAATCTGTTCATGGGGCGATCTCTCAAAATTCGCAATAAAGGAATGTTAAGCTTGCCCAGAACAATTTGGAAGGGTCTACCACAGGGCTCGGTTTTAAGCCCTTTTCTTTATAATATTTACACATATGACCTTGAATATTCGATTTCGTCTTTCTGTGACATATTACAATATGCAGATGATCTTGCTATCTATGTAACAGCTCCTGATATCCTAACTGCCTCCCATCATCCTAACAGAGGCTTATATTATCTTAATCAATGGCTTACTGACCATGGCCTCTCTCTTTCAGCTTCTAAAAGCAAAATAAAAAAAACCTTTAGTAGAAAATGTGTTATCCCTACTATTGATATCTCATATAATGGTGAATCTATTCCAGTTGTTAACAAAGTAAAAGTTTTAGGTATTTACTAAGATTGTCATATGACCGGTACTGCTCACTTTAATTACATCAGTGACTAATGTGAGAAAGGTGTTGACATTCTTAGATTTCTATCAGGCGTATGGTGGGGTTCTCACCCCATGTGTCAAAAATCCTATACAATGCCATCATCCACCGTCACTTCAACTATGGCTCTTTCCTCCTGGAGCCCTGCAACAAATTGACCCTTAGTAGGCTTGAAGTTATCCAAGCAAGATGTTTATGTGTTATCACAGGTGCAATGAAATCAACTCCCAAAAATGCTTTACAAGTAGAATGTGTTGATTACCCTACCCCTCTTTACGAAGACAGTTTCTAGCTGATAGATTTCTCTCAAAAACACTGCAACTAACATCTCACCCCTTATATCGTAAACTAGAATCCTTGCTACTATTAGTTTTCAACAACTCCTATTGGTCTAATAAAAGCTGGCCCCCTATTCTTAAATCTCTAAATAGATTAAAAAATATTGGTTATCCTTGTGTAACATCCCTAATTCTACCCTATTTTGAATCCAGCTATGAAGCTATATTACTAAATCCTAAAATCACTGAATTTAAACATTAATAAAAATTCTCCAACTGCAAACAGAACTTTCTATAACCTTGTGCCAAAAAAATGGCCTGATTGGCTATATATTTTTACTGATGCTTCCAAATTGTCTTCATTCAAATGTTCTGCAGTCTGGATTCCCAAATATAAAATTGTAGATGTCTACTCAGGCTTCTGTTTTTACTGGGGAAGCTGTAGCGATATATGAGGCTATATCCTATATTCTTTCCCATAAAATTCCTAAGTCAGTTATATTTACTGATTCAAAAAGCTGCCTAATGTCGTTACAGAGTAATATATTTAAAATGAAATCCATCTCCCCATTAATTTTTTTTTATTGGATAAGGGTGACAAACGAGCACACAGTCCACCTGATGGTAAGTGGTTGCTGTGGCCCATAGACATCTACATCTATCTTCGATTAAGAATCAAAATGCAGATGCGTTGTCACCCGTGAGGACTAAGATGGAATGCCTCGTTTCCAGTAAAAAGGGTCTCCGGTTCTCTACACTCACCATACGAAACACAGCAGCGTTAAGCTGCTATTTTACGCTGGTATTCTGTGAGAGTGTGGTCCTTCCCCGGTCGAGCCGACCCATTCGTGCTACAACCATAATATAGCTGCAGCATGGCTCTACCACATACAAAATATACTGAAAATTAAAGAACTCATACGAAATTGTAATAAGAGTGGGCTTGATGTAGAGATTGTGTGGATTCCTAGTCATTGTGGCATATAAGCAAATGAGCAGGCTGACTCCTGGGCCATAGGAGCTGTAGAAACTGGCTGTCCTTCTCATTTAATGAATTA